CCCACTGGACTAATTTCCCACGATAAATAGCCTTGCGATACACAGCAATACATATGTACATTGCAAGCTTGGACTATTGCCATGGATAGACACGTACATGGCAATTTGAGAATATTTCCATGGTCACCACTAATAACACATATATATCCTTGATAGGTAATTTTGGATTGTTTCTAAAACTTGCCTATCTTGAAAATGAAAACCACATGTAATTCATCTCTTTGATAAGCATGCTCGGACTATTTCCGAAAACACTTGTCTACTCCATCTTTGTTTATATATATGTTTGGTCACATATACATTAGGCAAGGTAGCGATTGTTGTATGTGTATTGACACCATGATATCCCATGACAACGATTTAAGAAGGGTGAGGTGGCAAAGGGTGGCAATAGTATTGTGAGTCCATGATAGGTGACAACATATAATTAATTGGTTACACGTGTGTTGCACATGCATGCTTACATGATGCATCAAGGGGGGTTGCGAGCTAGATGGACCATGGATAGAGGTGGTGAGTTTGGATTGGGGACGCCGAAAGGTAGATATAGGGGTTGGAAGAAGGTCGTTTAATGGTAAAAAAAGAAATCATCAATGCCACCTGATGTGTGTGAGAATCCTAAAGATATGTGTTATATACTATTGCCCGTTTCAATGCATGGCAATTAACTATTTAATAGTAAAAAAACTCATCAGCGCCTGATGTGCATAAGAATCCTAAAGATATGTGCTATATATAATTGATGTTGAACACTAAAATATGTATGCCCCGTTGCATCGCACGGGCAATTAACTAGTCTAAACCAATAGACAAGCCTATATGTTCAAGGTCACTACATTTCTAGCACAGCAAATGCCCCGTCCTAGCACCTGACAAAATCCTACGTGAAGCGCAAACTTACATGATGGACCAAACACGCATACACCTGCCACTTTTATTTTTCATGAAAGCTAACAATTATATTTCACTTTTAGACATCAATACAATTTCTCTGTAGTCAGTAGATTCAAAGATTTACTGAATCATTAGCTACAGCCAAACCAAATAAAGAATTTCACAAAGGAAGTGCTTTGCAAAATACCAACTGCATCAAGTCAACTAGAGATCAAAAGAGTAACAAGTCTGACCGAACCTTTTAGTACACTAGCAGGTTGACAATATGCACTAAGATTTCGGATAATAATTAATAAATGATTGTTATGGATAAGAGGGCCTATCACAGTACAATTTAGCCCCATGAAACTAAGACATGTCCAGAACAACAGCCAGTGCTAGGCAAACAAGAACAAGGGTAATAACATTCTTTGAAAATGAAATGATGCTTAATATGTAGGTTTACAGGCATTGCTGTGAAGTCTGAACTGGAAATCAAGCAAGCAGGAGTATAAGCGCCAGCAAATTGGGGGGCCATGATTGAAGCAGATTCAGAGGTACACAGACAAATTGTTCAGATGAAAGAAGAGCCAGTTTTTGGGAGGAAACACAGGGGTGGTTTGAAGGTAAAGTTACTACCCCTCAGCATCAGCTAATGGCTCTGAGAACAGAGGAACATAGGGTAGAAATTTGTGTACACTGTTTTTCTCAAGATTAATGATACAGCCAACTTTCTGATGCCACATGTCATATGATACCAAGGTATCACCTCCACATTGAGCCAGGAAAATGGTGTCGCAATCTGGATGAATCTCAACCACCCTGTACTTCTCCCAAGTCATGCTGATAAGTGTATCGATGCTGGCAGTATGCTTCAGGACCCATTGTTTACTGTCACAATCCTTGAGGCACCAGAGTGCTATCTCAGAAACTAGGATTTCATTGTTATTATTGAGAGGAGCTATAGCATAGTGTAAGCACCCCTTTGACAATCCAATAGTACCAAATTTTGAACCATACGGCACACGGATAGTCTTCCACACTTTCCCCTCCATGTCCACCCCCACCAGCACATACTCGCCGTTGATGTCCTCCAGGTTACCCATGATGTACAGCATACCGCCGACAAAGACACATTTACTCCTGAACAGGGTAGCTTTCTCAACTATCCCACTGTCTCTATGAATCCAGCCTCCTGTGCGAGACGAGTAGATGTTCACTCCTGTGATCAACGTTTCCGGAAAGGTCCGCTCGAAACAAAGAACATGGAAATGGGACGAGACTGCTGGATCGAAAGCCAGGCCTGCGGTATGGTTAAGTCTGTTCATTCGCTCCTGTGTTTGAGGTTGAGGTGGCAGCTCCACCCACCTCCCGGTGGCGGGATTGCACACAACAAAATGGTAATCATGCCTGCTGCTGTTGTAACGGCGGTAAAGAAGGAGGCCATTGCAAGCGTCCACCAGGGTGATGCCCTCATCCTTGTTAGGATGTAGGTAAGGGAGGGAGGGGTTGAAGGAGGCTGCGCCGCCGGAGAAACCGGCGAAGTGGTGGCGATATCCGCTGTTGTAGAAGGATGTGTAGAGGAAGCCGGCAAGGGTCTGGGGCAGCTTCTTGTGGTTGGCGGGGTCGGCGATGAGGTCGCGCCAGAGCATTGATACGCACTTGAAGCGGTGGACGGATCTGGCTGGGAGGCGGGAGAGGATCTCCAGGATGAGGTCGATGTTGAACAGACTGGCCACCCCCGCCGCTGTCACCTGCGGATGGTCGTCCAGCCTCGGCTTAGTGTTCCTCTCGCAGATCTCCCCCTTCTCCGCCCCCTCCATGGAGCTCGACTTGGTGTTCCCCTCGAAGATCCCCCCTTCTTCGCCTCCTCCATGGAGGAGGAAGGGCTAGGCAGGGACACAGTTAGGTCAAATCTGCAAATGGAGAGAGGAAATCATGAATCTACCTGAGAAAAATTAACCAGGTGGTGCTGGTGGTCCTATGAGGAGTCAGAAAGGTACCTTGGTTTGGTTTACGATAGCGACGGGTGCCGGCGGTGAACGGGATGCGGCCGGCGGCACTTCGCTTCTCAGAGGACAGTGGGGAACAACAACACGGAAGCTAAACTTAGAAAGAGGAAATGGGGATGCTTGGATTGGATAGTCGTAGATACAAACATAAAAATGACCTGTATGTAAAGAATTGACAACTTTTAGAATTTACCCTTTTCCAAACATGACTAGAAGGAAATGTGCGCCTTGTTGTGCGGTTTTTAATGCCACCGCAAACTAAGAGAAAAAAGCAAATAATTTCAATGCCACAACAAACTAAGAGAAAAAAACTAGTCCATCGCCACCTTCTCACTTGCCTCCCGCAACTACAGTTCCTGCATTTGGGCCTCCCTACCAATGTCTTATTTTCCAAAAAATGCCTTCTGTTCTCATGTAACTCCTATTCACTTAGAGAGTTCCAAAGAGAGCATTTGATCAAAGGTTTATTTCACCCTAACAAAAGCATATCAGAATATTGCATACAACAATGTGTTAGCTACAGACATATGGTACTAAGGCCAAATCCAACGCGCAACCCCAAATGGTCCGGCCGCGTCCATTTGGGGCTAAGAGCATCTCCAACCGCGCTCCCAACAGGCCCCACAGGCAAATTTTCGCCGATGGCCGAAAATCGGCCCAGTCACGCCGCCAGGACCTCGTTTAGCACCGGTTTGGACCAAATACAGAGCCGGCGATCCCGCCCCGAACCCAAGCGACCGGGTGTCGCCTGGGGGCGCCGGCAGAAGTGAAAAGAGGCGTGGGGCTGCTCTGTCAGCGAGAGGAGGCCCTCTATTTCCCGCCGTTTCCTCCCGCTTCCCCCTCGGCATCCCTCTCATTCTTCATTCCTCCCGCCAAACTCCGCCTCCTCCCTTCCAAGCCGCCCGCCATGCCGCCGAAGAAGTACGTGATGCCCCGCGCCACGACGGATCCCACAGCCGCCGCCGTCGCCCAGCCGAAGCAAAGGAAGCCGAGGGCACCGCCGTCCAAGCCCCTGGGCATGACAAACGCCAACTGGAAGGCGGATGTGCAGCGCCGGGAGGCCTTCACCGCCGATAGGCGCAATAGGGCCAAGAAGGCCAGTGAGAGAGCGGCGCACGCGGCGGAGGCGGCGGCGGAGCAGGTGGAGCGTGCGGCGGTCGAACAAGCCGAGGCGGCGCGTGCGGCGATGATGAATCCACTCGGTGGGCACGGTCCGCACGCGGCCTGGAGACAGCAAAGCATCGGCTCTCCGGTCGGGTTCTCGTCGTCGCCACACCCATGGAGCACGTCGTCGCCGGGCTACGCCGATGGCGACGTCCACGATGGTTTCAACCCCAACATCACCTTTCCCCATGGGCGCCCGGTCCAGCATACGCCCTCGTCCGCGTTCGCTGGCATGCAGTACCCTCCGTACACATACTCGCCGACGGACTACGCAGCTTCACCGACGCCACCTCTCCGCTGCGGCCTCTACTCGCAAGCCTCCTCCTCGTCGCATCTTGGCAACGCCGACGCGACGGAGGACCACATGGAAGACATCATCGCAGCCGGCTCGGCTGCCGCCGCCGCTTCCCCCGGGTTCACTACCCAAGACAGCTCGATTGATCTCGGTGACATGGACGCCGAGCTCGACTACGGCGAGGAAGAGCCGGAGGAGGAGGAAGAGGAGGAGGAGGAGGAGGAGGAGGAGGAGCCGGTGCCGACGAGAAAAGGCAAGAAGTAGAATAAGAATAAAGTGTCGGCCAAGACCGGCGAGCCGCGCATCAAGTGGGCGACCAAGGAAGATGAGTGCCTCGCCGAAGCGTGGAAGGTCGTTTGCCTCGACCCGATCACCGGCACGAACCAGAACATCGAGACATATTGGGACCGCATCAAGGCCGAGTTCGACGAGCGAAGCTCGTCAACCCCTACTTCAAAGGCGTCCACATAAAGCGTGGGTCGAAGGCGATGGCGAACCATTGGGAGCTCATCCAAACGACGTGCAACAAATGGCATGGGATCGTCGAGGAGGTCATGGCTCGCCCGGAGAGCGGAACCAGCATCGAGGATCAGGTATAGCACGCCGTCCTCACCCTATTGCTTTCGCCGTGTGCGTGCCCATGCGCGCTAGCGCCGACTGATGTTCTTTACTCGGTGCAGCTGCTACGCATGTTCGTCATGTTCCGCGATGACAACAACAACCTAGAGTTCAAGTACCTCCACGTCTTCAAGCGGATCGACAAGTGCGAGAAGTGGGCGGCTGTCCGGCGCACCCTCGCCAAGGGCAAGGAGACGTACAAGCCGGACGCGCCGACCCCGGGCGCGGCTGACGGGCGACCGGACAACAACAAAGGGGCCAAGAAGGCGAAACATGCGAGTCGGCTGCCGCACGCGTGCAAGAGTCCATCGAGCATTGCCTCGCCGACGCCAAGAACAGGGTCGCCCAGCGAGAAGAGAAAACTGAGGCGAGGTGGGCTGCTTTTATGACAAACAGCGCCGTCAAACTCGACTTGCTCCGGTCGTCTCCGCGAAGAAGAGGAACAACGACCTGGCTTTCTTGATGGGCGGCGCCGACATGCTCCAGAGCGGCGACGAGAAGCTCAAGGCGTGGTTCTTGACGGAGCGAGGCCTCATCCTGAACCAGATACCGGCAACGCCAACGCCGACACCGACGCCGACGCCGACGCCGCCACCCAGCCCGACTGACGATGTCTCCGTGACGCCCAGCAGCACAGAAGCCGCGCCGACCAGTCCAGAAGCCGCGCCGACTCCTCCCAGCCCGCGTACGCCGCCGACGACAATGGAGGTCGAGCTCGATGTTTGATGCATTCCTTTCGCGTCCTTCCTTTTTTGTGCATCGAACTACTGCCTATCCTTTCATTTGATCACCGAACTATGGCACCGAATCGTCGAACTATTGCGATGATTGCCGGATTGTGGCTTTTTTGGAGCGGGAACGATTGATTTTGAATATGGGGCGTGTGTCTGGCGCCTTGGGAGGCGGCACCTGGGGGCGTGGCTGGGGCGAAACTAACTCGAGGGGCCAATCTAGCGCCGGTTCGCCCCCAGGCCGCTCTTTTTCGGCGCCTTGGGGGCCGAACGGCTGGAGATGCTCTAAACGGACACAAATCGTGCCCCAACACATGGGAGCAAATGAAAAATGCCCTTTTTTGTTCGCCGTTAGTCCATTCCCGGCCCAAATTTGGGCCATGTTTGCGCCGAAACGGACAGCATGCGGACGGGCGGGGGGCGCGCCCTTGTCCTCCCCTGGCACGACGTCGAGGACAAAAACGCGCCAAATTTTCCCCTCGTTACCAAAAACCTCCCGTGCTCCCCCTCCACTCCCTCCTCCATGGCTGGCGCCAAGAAACCCGACGACCGACCGCCACCACCGACCGCCCCACGACAAAGAAGGGCCGAAGAAACCGCGGTCAGAGCTCACGGTGGCGGAGGTCACGCGACTTGACATTTAATCGGCCAAGAGGAGGGTCCGGCGGACTATTGCGGCGGAGAAGAAAGCCGATGCTAACTTCGCTGCTGAGGCCGAGGCCGCGCAGCACAAGGCCGTCGTCGACCAAAGCGATGCCATCCTCGCCAAGGCCATGCAGTCAGCGATGACACAGGCCCTCGTCATGCTAGGGTTGTGCCAATCCGGGCCGACAATTCTCTCCGCCATCGCCATGGCCGCGGCGAGCACAGGCTCGTCGACCGTTCGCCCTCCACAGTGCAAGTCACTAAGCTCCTCCATAACACCGGAGACGGATGGTTTTCATCCGCCACAGCAACATGCTGAGACCCAGTTCTCCACGTCACCGAACGACCGCGTGATCGCGTCGGCCATCCCCGCCCAGCCAGCCATCATCGACCTCAACGTCACGCCTGGGTACAGTGGTGCTAGCCAGTCGTCCGATAGGATGCAGATGAAGCATCCCTAATCGATTCCTAAGGCCAACCTTCCTCGCTCCTGCAACCTATTCAACAAAATGTCAATCCCGACGAGGCGGCCGATGACCCCAACCACAACGCGTTCATGGAGAACGTCAGCTTTGAGGGCCATGGCCAGGCCTTCCACCCCATCGACCAAGGCCAAGGCTACGATCCCGACGAGACCCAAAGGCAAGACAGCCGCGGCCAAGATGGTGCCGACCACTACTATGTCCATGAAGAAGAGGTCGGTGACCATGGCAACTCATGGCATGAAGATGAGGACATGTATTACGAAGATGAGGAAGAAGAGTTCGACATTGCGGAGGAGCCATTGTTTATCGATGTTCTCACCCAGAGCCGACGCACAAAGGAGGAAGTAAAGCATTCACACGGGATCATACACCAAAGAAGAGGACACACTGATTTTCGAGATAGGCCAAGATCCCAAGACTGGTGCTTTTGGACGAGAGTTCATACAACATTTCATGAAAGGAGGAATTTTTGCCCTACAAGTTTGCGAGCAACCGTGGCATCAACTCAATCCAAAAGAAATGGGGTTTCATTCAACAAGAATGCAACAAGTATTGTGCCGCGCTTGGGAGGGCTGGACCCCATCTCGTGAGTGGCCTAGCCGTGGGCGACTTGGTATGACCTCCCCTATTTCATTGTTGTGTCATGTTCATGTTTGTTGTATCTTGTGCCCTTCGCTATTACACTTGTGGTATTTTCTTTGATTGTGTAGGCATTCCAACCTTTGGAAGCCTTCAAGGCCCGACATAAGAACAAGCAGTTCACTCTAACACATTGTTGGTCACTCATCAAAGATTGCCCCAAGTTGAAAGATCAATATGCCTCTCTAAAGAAGAAAGGAGGGCCAGCGGCCGTGGCTGGGAATGGAGATGTGC